TAATTTGGATTGAAGATGATGAGGTAATAATAATTCTTTTTAATAATTCCCAAATTGCCTTTAAGGTTTGACCGGCAAATCACACTTAGGACCAAATCGGTAAAAATGCCATAGTCGAGGATCAAATTGAGGAATTTTAGTAGTCGAGGACCAAATTGGTGAAATCCTCATAGTCGAGGGACCAAATCGGTAATTAACTCTAATAATAATAATAATAATTCTCATGTGGAACTGTTTGACGAATTCTGTCTGTAAAATAGGTTGGATCAAGATGAAAATGTTATTTTTCTATACCAAAAAATGTAATACTAATAAGTGTTTGTTACTTATGAAAAAATGTAACACTTATAAGGAAAAATGTAATACTTTTAAATCAAAATGTAAAAGCATTACATTTTTTTTTCAAAAAGTATTACACTTTTCCTTTCCATATAAGTATTACATTTACATTTTGACCCAACCTGTCGCACGGACAATTTACCGTTCAATTTTTGGTACTATTTAATTTAGAATTATTGTAGAAATTTATGAATTTTCCTGACATGTCTATGAACATTAGTAATTTTTGCATAAGGTATTATTATGTCAATTATTTAAATTGTATTATGTGCGATTAACACTTGTTGCAACAATATTCAATGCAATTAAGTTGATAAATTCATACATGATTGTACTGAGTACAAAATGTATATAGACCGACACCATTAAAGACCTCTCAATTAGTTAATTTTATATATTTAACAATTTATTAAAAATATTATCAAATACAAAAAAAGGATTAGAAATTATAAAGAATATTTAAAGGAAGAAATTAAATTAACCAACTAATAATAAATAAATCCACAAAATGAGAGAAAGAGAATCATAAGTTCTTCTCTCAAAAGGTTGAATCTTCAACTCTTAGGGCTCCGTTCACATCCCGGCCTGATAGAGCATTTAATGGGAGATGTAAATCACGGTTGACTCAATAGTTCAGCAGACAAAATCATCTAAATGTTGGTGCGCACAAGAAATTTATCCACTTTGAACATAATTCTCACACTACTATTAACAAAATTTAAACTTTGATCTTTCGTCTAAATACTGCTTACTAAACCAGTGAACTAAGTCCGTGCGAGCGAAAAACAATCATAAGTTGTGACGATGGGAAACCCACTGGTTTTCTGACAGGATGAGCGATGGATATCAATGAAAGCAAAGGTGGCTAAATAAGGATGGGAGGTGGATAGAGACAGAGTGGTAGCAACTTATAATTGTATTAGCTGTGAAATTGAATTAAATTAAAGCATAATTTATAGTAATTCATTATCAATTTAAATTAAAACTGTTATTCTATATATGTATGTCTGTGGATATACACATTTTGGACAGAGATACATGAAAATATTTTATAGTAGTAAAATTTTTACCATATAATATTGCGTCTAATTTATTGAGAAATTAATCAGTTTTACAGATAGGGATGAAGTTATTCACACACCAGTAATAGAGTGAATTACATGTCACAAATGGATTAATAAGTCTTTTAAGCTGTCACAAATCTAGGTGACAATGGGTGCATTTATATGACTTTTAATCAAGAATATGTCTTATGTGTGATTGTTTTATGTAAAACATGTATTACCTTTTTACTTAATATGTAATATATTTATTGGATCTACATAAATATATTACATTCTAAAAAAAATCATATATCTCACATGAGACGATCTAACACAAGACTTATTCTGTAATTGAGGTGTATGACAATTCTTGCAAATTTGAAACCATCAACCTCGTGAGACCAAAATTCTTTTGTTTTAAATAAAGTTAAATGTTATTTTTATTATTATACTCCGTATTATATTATATTTTGACAAACAATTAAAATTGCAAAGATGAAGAGAAAATAGTTTTAAATTACAAATGTGATTACATGTCATTAAAATCTATTTTTAAGAGTGAAAAAATATTTTAAGGATTTGAATCCCTTGTGCACATAAAGATTAAGGAATGGTCGATGGGCTAATTGTGCAACTTACAATTTACTTCTCCAGTGATTTTAGGGGCAGTGTCTTGTGAGCTTTAAGATTAGTTTTACAAAGTTGAGATCATCAACTATGGAAAAAAAAAATAAAAATTTTAAGGTGCATTTGTGCAATATAGCCTAATTGATAAAGTCATGTTATACTCATCTACAAAAATTACTTTTAAATATTCACCATTTTAACAAGTCATTATTGTATTGAATTTTTAAAATATTTGATATTACATGTACCCTCAAATAACTTATGGTATCATGAACCAATTCATATATAGCTAATAAAATTAAAGAACTTTCATTTGAAAAGTAAAACTTTTAGATAATTCAACTTTGTCAATATGTAGGGATCTTAATTAAATAATTGAAGACATCAATATAGTTTTATAGCATTACTATTACCATTCCAAACGAAAGATCACAAGTTTGTGTCTAATTTCAATAAAAAATGTTGACATAATCATGTTGAGCAAATCTAATAATAGATAGGTTAGATTGTAGTTTAAATAATTAAAAAGTTTGAATTATTCTAACCTATAAATGTAAAATCATAAGAGTTGTTTCTTTTTTTTTTTGGAAGTTACTGGCTCTATTACATTGTAGTATCTGTTCATATACTTTCTCAACCTACTGAAACACAAAGAACCAATAACGCCTCCACTAAGGCTTGAACCCATAATCTTCCAATTGGAAGTCCAACCCGGATACCATTAGACCACGTAGTCCTGGTCATAAGACTTGTTAAATGTTATCTTATTTAATAAAACAATCTTGTATACTAAATAACAAATTTTGAAATATATTTTAGTAAGGGAAAATTGTAATTTATACCCCTCACAAATATATGAATTATCAATGTCACCCCTGAATTATCAGTGGTGTAAATGTTGCCCTTCAATTTTCAAAACATGATATATATTGCCCCTTCCCTAATATGAAGAAGAAGAAAAAATGTTGTCGACGGAAGGAGAACAATCGAAGAAAGAAAAAAATGTGGTCTTCGAACAAGAAAGACGACGTATAACCACATTTACATCACTAATAATTCAGGGGAGGGGCAATATATGTCACGTTTTGAAAATTGAGGGGCAACATTTACACCAATAATAATTCAGGGGTAACATTGATAATTGGCATATTTGTGAGGGGCATAATTACAATTTTCCCTTTTAGTAATATAGTAACCGAGGACACAGCGAATGAATTTCGAGAATACGTGCATAGTTACTATGTTGTGGTTCAGAATACGAGAAGTATCACATGGGCAAAGCTTAGGAAGCCTAACAACTATTCTTACATTGTTACTCTAAATATTTACTTTTTTTTTTTTTTGAATTGCTCTAAATATTTACTTAATTATTTAATACTTAAAAATTAAAGACTACCCTTGCTCCCATAATTTCATTCTAGTCAAAATCTCACGAATCATTTTTTTTTTTTTTTGAAACAAGACGGAAAGAACTTCATTGCTGAGTGAAAAAACGTGCAATACAAGCCGGTGGGATATCGATCCACACCTCTGAGGCAGCTGTAGAACCGGTTGCCCGAGCTAACTCATGAGCTACGCAGTTCGCTGACCTCCTGACATGGGTAATACTAACATTCCCAATGTCCCTAGCAATCGACAGGCATTGCTTAACAATCAAACCAACATAAGACAAATCAAAAGAACTAGAATTAAAAGCATTGCAAAAACTTAAACAGTCAGACTCAATAATTATACTCCTGTGATGTTGCTCTTTAAGCCACATCAACGTTTCTCTGACACCGATCGCTTCAGCCATGTACGGATCAACGATCCCCTCGATACGTCCGCTTTTCGCCGCCACAAAGTCACCGGCATGGTCCCGCACCAAAGCTAGCGCCTTCGACGGAAGAAGCCGCATCTACGTTACATTTAATTGTATGCCGCGGAGGTGGCGTCCACATAACAGCCTGGCGTGCCGGATGCTCCATGGTACTGTAAGCCTCTTTCCAGCCAAGTCGCTGCCGATGCATTTGGTCGTGAGCACTCGCCACATCCAAAGCTTTGTTGTTCCACACGGCATCATTCCGCCACAGCCAAATAGTCCAGAAGGCAGCAGCTAGACGCACCGCTTCCTCCTCAGATCCACTGCCCAGCGAAAGGTTAAAAAAACTGATTATGTCTCGCCCTTGTCGAATGTTCACATCGCCCCACACCCCTTCCGCAAATGCGCAGTCACAAAAAAGATGTTCCATCGTTTCAGACACATGACCGCACATTGGGCAACCCCCACCTATCCACACCCTGTTGGACCGCAAATTATCACGAACCGGTAGCACGTTACGAGCGCACCGCCACAGAAAGTTTTTTACTTTCGGTGGGACTCGCATTGCCCATAACGCTCTCCATGCAATAAAACCGCCTGTCTCACCATGCATGACCTCCTCTCCTCTGAGCAGCCGGTATCCGTGTTTAACAGTGTAACATCCCCGGATGTCGCCGATCCACCTCCAACTATCTCAGAAATGAACGTTCACTGGTGTTGCCAGGATCCTGCCTACATCCACCTCGTTAAAGACATCCCGAATGATGTCCCTATCCCAGTGGCCCGTTTCATCAAGAAGATTATGGACTCTCGCCTCACACAACTCATCCACACACGGAGTACTCAGACCTTCCACCGAAGGACCCGCGAGCCAATTCCAACCCCACACTTTCGTATCGCGTCCATCCCCTAGCCACCGAGCCACTCCCAATTGCAGAACTCGCCGCCCCGCCATAATACTACGCCAGATGAAGCTTGGATTAGCCCCGATTTGTGCGCCCATAAAATCCAATTTCGGATAGTATTTTGCCTTGAGCAAGCGACTCACTAGCGAATCGGGATAGATTAACAAACGCCACCCTTGCTTGGCCAATAACGCAATATTAAATTCATGAAGCTTCCTGAACTCCAGTCCACCTTTTGACTTAGGAGCACACATTCTGTCCCAGCTCAACCAATGTATGCCCCAATTACCTGTAACCCCACCGGCCACCGCCCCACCAGTACCGGTTAAACATCTTTTCCAGAGAGTCACAAACGCGCATAGGCAACAGGAAAGTAGACATGGTAAAAATCGGCAGCGATTGAGCGATACTCTTAAGAAGAACCTCTTTACCTGCTCGAGATAGGAGTTTGTTTTGCCATGTGCCCGTTCTTGCCCGTATATTCTCCTCAACACACCGAAACACCGCTGTTTTGTTACGTCCCACCACCGACGGAAGGCCCAAGTAGCGCCCCAAATCTGTTGCCTCGGGAACCCCTATGATTTCAGAGACCAAGGCCCGAACCGGCGGACTAGTATTATGGCTGTACACTGCACTGGACTTCTCAAAATTTATTAATTGTCCTGAGGCCGAGCTGTAACTTTCAAGACATTCTTTTATATGTTTCGCTTCCCTTTCACATGGCCTGAAAAACAATAGACTATCGTCAGCAAAAAAGAGGTGAGAGATGGCCGGGGCTCCCCGGGCCACCCGCACACCATGGATGTCCCCACGTGCCTCCGCCTATTGCAGAAGCATAGAGAAACCTTCTGCGCAAATGATGAAAAGGTACGGAGACAGCGGATCACCCTGACGGATCCCCCGTGTAGGGCTAACCTGTCCCGCGATTTCCCCGTTCACCATTATAGAATATTTCACGGACGTGACACAGACCATTAACAGCTCCACCCAACTTCTATCAAAGCCCAACGCCCTCAACATACCCTCCAGAAAAAGCCACTCCATCCTATCGTACGCCTTAGCCATATCTAGCTTCAGCGCTGCCCACCCCTGTAAACCCCCGGTCGTTCTTCTTAAGAAATGACCTATTTCCCCGGCCACAATAATATTATCCGTGAGAAGCGAGCTTTTTCATTTATTTTATAAAATTTATCCATAAATGTATACTTAGTTGTTATAGAACGCATATTTAAGTATCCAAGTTTGTTTGGATTGGGTCAAAGTGAATTTAGGTCATCCTAAGTGAGAGGGTTAATTTAATATATTATACACTCAAAATGGATAATGGGTGAATGATGAGAAATTGATTTTCAAAGTGTACGCATTTCAGTTGAGAAGATTTTTAAGTTTTAAGTAACATTTGTCTCACATTGAAAAGGGATGTAGGTTTGCACAGCATATATACAATTCAACTTTTTTAAGATTTTGAATTGTATATCATAGATGTTTTCTTTCGTGCGTTGGGGCAGGGGGAGTAAATCAAATCCCAAAATGGATCGAAAAGCTTGGACTAACGAGTGAGTCAAATGTTCATCCAAAAGTTTGATCCTAATCAGATACAGAATTAATTATGATTAATTCTAATTTTTATTTTAGAATTAACTTTCTAATATCTACCTACTAAATCTGTCTACTTCTCTGTATTCTATGAACACTTATATTTAACATTACAAAGTATGCATGATAAGGATGATTCCCTACCGAACCGTAGTCTACGCTTGGTCGGTACCGGACCCCGTCTAGCCGTCCTTGAGAAGAGCCCACCCGAACTTCACTGACCTGGATTGCTTGTCTACCTGATTGAAAGAGAGACCAAGCATAGTTCGATACGAAGGACGAAGGACAATGCTAATCGACCTGCCCCGAGCACATAAGGTTGGGGCCGAACACCCGACCTACAATACTTGGAGCCCAAGGCCTAGTCCCCTTACCCAAACCTGGTGGTGGCACATCGAAAGGAATCAAGAATCTTAAGACGCGTGGGCGAGCCAACTTGGACTTCAATTTGGCCCCATGCATGCGTTCCATGTGCTGCGCGCTTGCGCATGCTGAGCGACAGATAACTTTCCCCCTTTTCTAAATATAAATACCGCATTAATTGCAGAGAATGGGGACTTAGCTTTTTACAATAATTTTTATACAATAACATTTAGCTCAGTAACCTCTGAGTCACTATTAAGTCATCTGAGTTCAAAGACTTAAACCAACAAACATACTAGGTAAATGGCCTTTAATCGAAACCGATCCCAGTATTGTATAAAGTAGTAAAGACCCAGTATTTAATACATCAATGCCTATGTCCAAGTTCGCTGAAATGCTTATATTTGAGAACTCAAATCAAATATATACATGTAATCCATTATTATCCTAAAAAAATTTACACTGCAATACTCTCACACCATCGAAAAGAAACAAATATGTTTTAAAAAAACTGTGAGTATCACAGCTTTAAATTTAATTTGGTCAGTTATTGTGGACTAAATCTTTTCGAAAATATTTTATTTTGATTTTTTGAGAAAATTTCCCTATAGAAATTTATTTTCTATTTGGAATATTTTAATTGCATAATTTTATAGTGTTGGGATATATAAACTTTTAGCTCAAATTTTGTGATAGCTAAATAACTTTATTCTTGTTCTTGAAAAAATGTTAAATAAGCCATTGAACTTTTACACTTAATGCAATTAAACTGTCGAACAAAAAAATATGCAATTGAATCGCTAAATAAATAAAAATTTTGCAATAAATAACATTTTTTTACAGGTTACTTCTAAATTTCTAGTAAAATATGAAGTCATAATGTTAAATTATATATAAAAATTATTCTAATTATTATTTTAAAAAATTAAATAAACAGTTTTTTAAACAAATTTGAGAAGAAGGTGGAAGCAATCATGGCTGCCCCCCTAGATGAAGATGGAGGTAGCCATGGTTGCCCCTCCTTCGTCCGTCTGGATGAAGGAGGGAGCAACCATAACTGCCTCCCTTTTGTCCAGATCGGATGAAGTTTGAATTATATAATTTTTGGTTATTATATAAATAGATTAAGTTTGAATTATATAATTCAAACTTAAAATAGATTAAGAAACTAAAATATCATAAATTTACATACTTGTTCTTTCAATTATTACAATAATGTATCACTTAATTGTTATCAAAGTAATGAATTTGACGAAGGAGATCAAATGTATAATCTATATCTATATATCTATATATCTATATCTATATATATATATAAAACTAAAATCCTCCTTTCCAAATTTTCCCCCCAAAACTTAGGGACATTTATGTAATTTTTAATTTTTTAATTTAATTAATTATCGAAATATTTTATATTTTATATATTATTCATTTACCTAAATTAGGTAAATATATTCTTCAAATATAAATTAGGTATCTATATATAATTTTTTGGTAAGCAATTTTTTTTTTAAAAGAAACCTAAAAGAATGATGGCAATTACTCATGTAGGGCAGGCAACGTCTACGTATATACTGCATTTCTGTTCAATCATAATAAATACTTGATGTTAAGAATTAGCAGAAAATAAATTAGGAAAAAAAAATTAGCAGCCAAAGTTGGCCTCAAAAGCACTTTACCAAATGTAATTGGTAATTGGTATTGGTAATTGGTAATAAAATAAAAATCATAATTGTTACCCTTAATCATATCTAAACACCTATATATACATCACATTCTCTTCAATACAAACAGTATCGAGTTACAAAGAACGAAAGGGAATATTCTATAGCAATAGTGTAGAAAACAGGGAGCTTCGAGAATAGGAGGAATAAGACTCATATTCTCTGCGTGAGGTATGGCCGTCGAAGCTTCCATATCCAAAAGAGTTGTTACACTACACTTGCACATTTGGTAAATCTCTGTATCCTTTTTTAATTGTTTTTTTTTTTTTATAAAGAATAGAAAATCATACCATTGGTGAAATTTAAAATCTATCTACATATATTATATAAACTATGAATATATTGATCATATATATAAGCTAATCCAGGGGGTATATCTGCAGGTTCATTTGCATGAGAGGGGACATCATTGAATGAGTTTGAATTATTAATATTTCTTTTTTCTGATGTGATGGCTCTTCCAGCACCAATAGAAGTAACACAAGGATTTGGAGCCATGGCAATGTGTTGAGGATCAGGAGTAGTGCTCTTTGACAAAAGCCTAAAGCAGCAACATATGAATATGATAGAGATTTAATTATTTTTTATTTGATAAAGATTATTCTCTAACCAAACAATTGGTAATATTTACGATATTGAACCAACCTTCATATTTTTGGTCAAATGAGTACACATGATGGAATATATGTTCATTGCATGGAATCTTAATATTAATTGAGTTGCCAAATCGTATATTGCATAAGAATTATTTTACCATAATATGAATTGTAACCAATTTAATAAATCTAAATATTAAAAAGTAGGTATGGTAATCTTATGTATGTTAATATTATTTCATATGGACGTAATACCATAATATGATTTATAACCAATTTAAGAAATCTATATTGATAACCAATTCAAGTATGTATGTATGGTAATCATATGCATGGTATTAAAAATAATAATTACATATGGTATTATGTATATTAATATTAGATATGGTATTCTACATAATCAGTTAAAAATGGAATATAATGAAAATTAGGTATACTGAAAAAATAATTGAATATTAATAATTGACTGAAAATGAAAAATGAAAAAAGAACATAAATTAGGTTAGTTGAAAAAGGAAATGAATATTTTTAATTGACTAGAAATAAAAAATGATCCATAATTGACTAAAATGGAAAACGAAAATGGTCATATTATTGTATTTTAATTTTGCACAATAATATTACACAATATAATACATAAAATCATAATTATGTTATAAATCTTTCACAATTTTAAAAATGGAACGGAAATATTTCAATAATAATATTTTACATCATCAAGTAAACGTAAATTAAAAATGAAAATGAAATATTTAAATAATAATATTCTACATCATCAATAGTAAAGGCATATTTTAAACAATAATAAAGTTAAATTAAAAATGCAACAAAAATTAAAAATGAAACGAAAATATTTCAATAATAATATTCTACATTATCAATTAAAAATGGAACAAAAATTGGGTAAAAATATTACTACATCTGATATTCTAATTGACTAATTAACTAATTGACTGAAAATAAAAAAGAATAATTGACTGAAAATGAATATGATATTACTAATTAACTGAAAATATAAAATGAAATGAATATTAATAGTTGACTGCAAATAAAAAAAATGATCTATAATTAACTAATATGAAAATAAATAAATGGTTAGATCATTGCATTTTAATTAAAAATTGATAGAAACTAAAATTGGACGGAAATATTTCAATAATAATATTCTACATCATAAATAATAAAGGTATTCTTTTTGAATGCTACTGACTCTATTATATTGTAGACTGAGAGTCAACAACGCCTCTAATAAGGCTTGATCTCATGACCTCCCACATGGAAGAGGTCACTAATTGTCATCTGAGCACAATGTGCTTATTTCAACCTAATAAAGATATATTTTAAACAATAATAAAGTTAAATTAAAATTGCAACGGAAATATTTCAATAATTATATTATACATAATCAATTAAAACTCGAATGAAAATTAGGTAAAAATATCATTGCATATGATATTTTAATTGACTAATTGATTAAAAATAAAAATGAATAATTAACTGAAAATGAATATGATATTACTAACTAGCTTAAAATATAAAAGAATCCCTAATTGACTAACATTCTACCATTATATATTTTCACCCGAGTCACCCATCATGATGGACTGAAGGTGTTAGCTATAGACGATGATGGACAAGATTGTATTGCTACTACCAATGTCGTCTACAAAGAGGTTTCAATAATGTGTACATACAATCGTTGATATTTTTTTTAATGACAAATTTGCTATATATCTAGACAAAAAAAAAAAAAAAAAAAAAAAAAAAATCTTCCATACAAATGAAT